GGGGGGGGGGGGGGGGGGCGTGGACGCTCGACACAATTATGTGCTCGACACGCGCGCAGAATGAGCACAGACGCATGTGTGAGTCTGTGCGCCGGTGTTTTTTTCGCGGTAAAGAACGGCCGCGGGCGATCTTCCCCCCCCCCCCCCTCTCTCCCCAGTGACCAGCGCGCCTTTTTCGGTCGGTAGGCCGGGGGCGAACAAAACTGGCCCAAGCCCCAGAGGAGGAGAATGGACTGCACACCGACCGCAGGGGAGCGTGCGCATTCGGTGCCGGCTCAAGAGCGCGGGTCGATTGATCGCACCAGTCCGGCCAGGAGGCCAATTTTCGGTCTCCCGGCCTGGATCTTGCCTCTTCCGCCCTTCTCCACCCTTCCGGGGCCCCCTTGTTCCGACTTTTTCAGTGCCCCTCCCTGGTGCCCTGATCTTCGCGGCCCAGGATACTCCCCTCTTCTCTTCCCTCCCTCCTCCCCTCTCTTTCTCTCTCCCTCCCTCTCCGCCTTCTCCTCAGTCTCGCCCCCCCCCCAAATGCCAGTATCAAATGTCAGATAGTCCTTCCGCCCGCGTCTCGGCCCTGAGCCGACCGCGCGCCTGTCCTGCCGGGCCCCGGTTGGTCTTTCTGGCCAACAATGCCAAGGTCGAGTCACTTATCATTGAGGACTACCTGCGGGAAAGGTACGAATCTCACTTCCACCCGACAACCCCTCCGACTGCCCCTCCTTCAGGGACTTCCACTCACACTTCTCTTTCCTTCTGAACACGCCCCCCCCCCCACACACACACATACACAAACACACGCATATTACACATGCAAACCATCTACCAGACTGGAACTCGAGCGTCTTTATGCCAGCCGTTTGGCCGAGATCGCGGCTCGGTGTCGGCTTCGACTCGATGAGCATGCAGCTCTCGTTGAGAGGTTTGTCCCCCATGCTCTACCCTCCGCCGCAGATTGAATGACACGCCCGGCACTGACCCCCCAGGGTGATAGTGAAACGGCCCCCCCATTGGCCAAGTACTTCTCCATCCTCGGTGAATTGTCGAACGATCGTCGGATCTCGGCCGATCAGATCGTCGACCAGGCTCTGGATCCGTTGACCTTCTTCAACCGCAGCAAGAGCCCCGACCCCCTGGCCGTTCGCGACGCTCCCTCTTTCCCGGATGCCTCGAAGGTCGGGACATCACCTCCACCCTTGCTCTTTCCTCCCTCCTTGGCGAATGCTCCCGCATCGACATGCTCTTCCCTCGCCTTCCTCGCCCCCCTCACCACTGACCCTTACATTCGCCCCTCCCTCTCTTTGAATCCATGGTGGCAGATCTTCCTCAATTATGAAGCCCTCAAACTGGAGGTCCTGAAGATGGCTCTGACACGCCTCACCATCACGCAATTAATTGGTCGCGAGAAGGAATCCGAGGTACTGCCAGGCTATCCCCTCCC